TAACAGAACAACAATACATAGATGCAGTAATTCTTTTTAGTTATGCTGAATTTAAATATATTTAATTTTTTATTAAATATTTATAACTTGTACTTTTTACTTTTCAGCAATCTGAAATGGATAGAACAAGCCGTGAACGTGATAAAGGAAGGAAATATAAACCAGGAAACAGCAGAAGGAGAAAAGATCAGAAGACTGCCAAAAATCACACAATGGTTATAAGTTCAAAGTGTTTCTGTGCCTGTGGAACCTCAATCTCATTCTGATCCTGGAGAGGAAAGTCCCAGTAATAATATGAATCAGAAACACAATTGGATTACAGGAGTTAGACAATGATCTTGGTTTATGGCCAAAGGGGGAGCGCAGAATGTCATCACTGTGATGGAGACTTCAAAGAGTCATCTGTGAAGGAGCTGGGCAGAACACGTCATTGCACAAAAGTGTTATATAGCCATACACATGCATTAGCTGGAGAAAAGATTGACCTTACATGACTGTGTTACTTGAAGACTACTGGTTGAGTTTATTGTTTTGTGTGCAAGCTAATGTCAAATACTGAGAGTCTGTTAACAACTGGCTTCAATGACTGGAAGTGTGCCAGGAATTGCATCGAATCACATGGAAGGTCAGATCAGAATAGAAAAGCAATGGCTGATTTGACAATTCAAAAGTCTGTAGGAACTCAAATTGATCCATGTCTTGTGGAACAATGTGAAACTGAATGCATCTACTGGTGGCAAGTGTTTCAGCATTGTGTGGATGTTTTAAAGTTTCTTTCTGAATGAGGACTGACTTTCATGGTAACGATCAACTTACTGGTTCTGTGCACAACGGTAACCACCTTGGCATTCTGGAGCTTTTAAGTATTTATGAGAGCTTCTTGGCAGCACATATCAGTAAGCATGCAATGAAAGGTAATGGACACACATCCTACTTATCACATTTCATTTGTGAAAAACTTATTCAACTGATGGCCGACAAAGTATCGTCTACAATCATAAATGAAGTTCAGAATGTAAAGTACTTTTCCATTTCTGTGGATTCTACACCTGAAACATCTCATAGTGACCAACTGAGTTTTACCATCCACTAGGTCTTGTCAACAGGACCACTTGAACAATATTTGAACTCCATACCCATGCTCAGTCACACAGGTAATAAAATAGCTGAGATTGTTCTCAATTTTCTCCATGAGAAGAGAATACCCATTGCCGTGGCCAGTCACGTGACAATGTAAGTAATATGTCTGGGAAGTATCATGGCACACAAAGCTAGAGAAAAGTTTAGAGTGATTGCCTACCTTCCCATCATCAATAAACTTTGTGTTGCAGTGAAGCATATGACGTTCTTCAAGGAAGGTTTAGATTTCTATCAGAAATGCACAATCTACCAACAAATGAGCTCAGAGGAGCTGCAGGTAACCTTGTCAAATGCTATCCACATGACCTAAAGAAAACCCCTGAGTCAGAAATTGTGAAATTCACAGTTCTTACAGGAATCATCAAGTACACAAGTTGAGGAGAGTGCTAAACTTAGTTCTTATAGGAATCATCAAATACACAAGTTGAGGAGAGTGCTAAACTCAGTTCTTAGTGCAACAGCTAAGGAATAATCAACACAAGTTGAGGAGAGTGCTAAACTCAGTTCTTACAGCAACAGCTAAGGAATCATCAATACACAAGTTGAGGAGAGTGCTAAACTCAGTTCTTACAGGAATCATCAAGTACACAAGTTGAGAAGAGTGCTAAACTCAGTTCTTACAGGAATCATCAAATACACAAGTTGAGGAGAGTGCTAAACTCAGTTCTTACAGGAATCATCAAGTACACAAGTTGAGAAGAGTGCTAAACTCAGTTCTTATAGGAATCATCAAGTACACAAGTTGAGAAGAGTGCTAAACTCAGTTCTTACAGCAACAGCTAAGGAATCATCAAATACACAAGTTGAGGAGAGTGCCAAACTCTTCAGTTCTTATAGGAATCATCAAGTACACAAGTTGAGGAGAGTGCTAAACTCAGTTCTTACAGGAATCATCAAGTACACAAGTTGAGAAGAGTGCTAAACTCAGTTCTTATAGGAATCATCAAGTACACAAGTTAAGAAGAGTGCCAAACTCAGTTCTTACAGCAACAGCTAAGGAATCATCAAATACACAAGTTGAGGAGAGTGCTAAACTCAGTTCTTACAGCAACAGCTAAGGAATCATCAAATACACAAGTTGAGGAGAGTGCCAAACTCGGTTCTTACAGCAACAGCTAAGGAATCATCAAATACACAAGTTGAGGAGAGTGCCAAACTCGGTTCTTACA